GACCGCTGCAACCCTCATCCAATGACCAATCAAGACCAAACTTGGCACACATAACCCCCATGACCCCCTTTAGGTCCTGGTGAGGTTTGGGAGAGGATGGACAATGGATGATGGAATTTGTAGTACTTTCTCACCCTACTGTGGGAACCGAGCAAACAAAGACCCAACTTGGCACACAGAGCCCTCATGACCTACTGTACATCCTGGTGCGGTTTGGAGGAGGATGGACCACGGATGATGGGACTTGAAGTACCTTCACTCACTTCCCGAGACCGCTGCAACCCTCATCCAATGACCAATGATCCAATGATCAAGACCAGACTTGGCACACAGAGCCCCCATCACCTACTCTACATCCTGGTGCTGTTTGGAGGCGGATGAACCATGGACGATGGGACTCATAGTACCATCACTAACTTCCTGAGAGGACTGCAAGCCACATAAATGACTGAGAAGGACCAACCTTGGCAAACAATGCCTTTCTCAAATTACCCGGGCAGTGCCAGGTCCCCAAGCTAGTATCATAATAATAGAGAGATCTTTAGAAATACCGAAACACTATTAGGCTTGTGGTGAGATATTTATTTGCATGTCAGTGCGCTTTTCCAAGGACACTTGGGTTCGAATCTCCATTGTTGGCCATAGAGACCCATTGGGTGACTTAGCGAGTCACACTCTCTCGGCTTCAGAGTTAGACAATGACAAATGGGGAAACTTTGCCATAGGTTTGCTGTAAGTCAGATACAAGCCAGCGCATGGTTGCGACCTTCCATTGAGTCCATTATTTCCAAACACAACTAGGGGTTAACTTGGACTACAATGCCCAGCACCCCCCCCCCCCTCATATATTAGGCATGCGGTGTTCAAGCTATGCGTAGCCTCATTTCTCTGGGGAAGGTGATATTGGATCGGGAAATGTAGTGAAATCCCGTTGTCCCCAGAAGTCAAAAATTCCGCCAAACCCTTTACTCTGGATCCGGGCCTTAAGGCTCGACCGTGACACTGCTGTGGGTCACCCGCGCCCCATACCATCCCTTCCAGAAACAGGTGTCCTGGCCTCCATGTTCAAAGCGGACGAAGCGAACGCCCGGGCCATAGTCGCTGAAGGTGTGGGTAATCTGTGGGGATAGAGCAAGACCCAAGTCAGAGTTTTAGAGCTAGACTCCTAGTGTTATCATTATGCATTAGTTTGACCTAGAGTAAGATAGAGTTAGAGAGTTAGAATTCGTAAGGAAATTACTTAGAGTCCTAGACTTAGTTAGAGAGAGTTTTAGAGTTATATTTAGAGTTAGTTTGAGCTGGAGTCGGGTGGAGAAAGAATTAGAGTTTTAGAGTTAGAGTAATATTTAGAGTTAGTTTGAGCTAGAGTCAGGTGGAGATAGAGTTAGTGTTTTACAGTTAAAGTTAGTTTGAGCTAAAGTCAGATGGAGATAGAGACAGAGTTTTTGAATTCGAGTTATATTTAGAGTTAGTTTGAGCTAGAGTAAGGTGGAGATAGAGTTTTAGAGTTAGAGTAATATTTAGAGTTAGTTTGAGCTAGAGTAAGGTGGAGAAAGAGTTTTAGAGTTAGAGTAATATTTAGAGTTAGTTTGAGCTAGAGTAAGGTGGAGAAAGAGTTAGAGTTTTAGAGTTAGAGTAATATTTAGAGTTAGTTTGAGCTGGAGTCAGGTGGAGATAGAGTTTTAGAATTAGAGTTATATTTAGAGTTAGTTTGAGCTAGAGTCAGGTGGAGATAGACTTAGAGAGTTAGAAGTAAGGGTTTTTAGAGAATTAGAGATAGAAAGAGTTAGATAATTCCTTAGAGAATTACAATAGAGTCAGATAGGGGTAGAGTCAGAGAGTTAGGAGTTAGAGTTTTAGAGTTAAAGTTAGTTTGAGCTAGAGTCAGATGGAGATAGAGACAGAGTTAGAGTTTTCGAATTAGAGTTATATTTAGAATTAATTTGAGCTAGAGTAAGGTGGAGATAGAGTTAGAGTAATATTTAGAGTTAGTTTGAGCTAGAGTCAGGTGGAGATAGAGTTAGAGTTTTAGAAGTAGAGTTATATTTAGAGTTAGTTTGAGCTACGGTCAGGTAGAGATTGAGTTAGAGAGTTAGAAGTAAGGGTTTTAGAGATTTAGAGGTAGAAAGAGTTCGGTAATTCCTTAGAGTTAGTTTGAGCTAGAGTAAGGTGGAGACAGAGTTAGAGTTTTTGAATTAGAGTTATATTTAGAGTTTGAGCTAGAGTAAGGTGGAGATAGTGTTCGAGTTTTAGAGTTAGAGTAATATTTAGAGTTAGTTTGAGCTAGAGTAAGGTGGAGATAGAGTTAGAGTTTTAGAGTTAGAGTAATATTTAGAGTTAGTTTGAGTTAGAGTAAGGTGGAGTTAGAGTTTGAGTTTTAGAGTAATATTTAGAGTTAGTTTGAGCTAAAGTAAGGTGGATATAGAGTTAGAGTTTTAGAGTTAGAGTAATATTTAGAGTTATATTTAGAGTTAGAGTAAGGTGGAGATAGAGTTAGAGTTTTAGAGTTAGAGTAATATTTAGAGTTAGTTTGAGCTAGAGTAAGGCGGAGATAGAGTCACAGTTTTAGAGTTAGAGTAATATTTAGAGTTATATTTAGAGTTAGAGTAAGGTGGAGATAGAGTTAGAGTTTTAGAGTTAGAGTAATATTTAGAGTTAGTCTGAGCTAGAGTCAGGTGGAAATAGAGTTAGAGAATTGGAAGTTAGAGTTTTAGAGTTAGAAAGAGAGAATTCCTTAGAGAATTACATTAGAGTCAGATAGAGGTAGAGTCAGAGAATTGGAGTTGAAGTTTTAGAGGTAACAGTTATATTTAGAGTTAGTTTGAGTTAGTTAGATCGAGTTAGAGGTTTAGAGCTATAAAATTAGTTTGTGTTACAATTAGAGTTAGAGTAAGAGAGCGTTATAGTTAGTTTGAGTTAGAGTCACAGTTTGAGATTTAGAGTTTGAACTGAATCAGATGGTCAGTGTAGACGAATATAACGCAGTCCGAGTTGCATTATTTCGCAGTGTAGATCCAGGCAGAAAGTTGGTTAGAATTAAGGTTAGTTAAAGTTTTAGAGTTATAGTTTTAGAATTTTAGAGCTCTCTCAGCTTTGGGAAAAGGACAGCTCTGATTGTGTCCTTAGCCAACCACTCTCTGTCTATCATTCTGGTCTGGATTTGGTTAATTCACCAATTAACAGGCGAGTTGACCCTTAGCTCAATGCCATTCATGGAGTAAAGTGACAGAGTGACTTAGAGTTAGAGTTAGAATGAGTTAGAATTAAAGTTAGTTAGAATGGGTTAAAGTTAGAGTGACTTAGAGTCTCCTCCTGGCCTCCTCTCCCCGCAGACATGAGACAAACCTCATTCCATTCGCCTTCATTGTCCTGGGGGACTGCGATGGTGTCACTCTCGAACTCGGCCACCACGTCTTCATTCTCCGAGAGCAGCTTGGCCTTCAGGCTGTAGAGACAGCCAGCGTCACACCGAGCAGCGTACCTGCCGGGTATCAGAAGGGTTTTTTCAGATTTGAATTGTAACCTTCTTTTACAAATGCCTTTTCACATCCAAAGTGAATTGTCAACTCTCTGTTTTTCTTTTCCCCTTCTCTCAATTTACCAGTCTTTCACCACAATTTTGGGCTGGACGGTGTCCATCAGCTCTTCCCAGTATCCCTCGGCCCGGAGATCGATGACTTGAGCCTTGCTGCACCAGCTGTGATACAAACAAGCAAACAAACACAACAAACAGGTGAGCCAGCAAGGGTGAACTTTGCTGTTGAGACAGACTGTTGAGAACAATAATATCCAATGGTTAGTTAGTTCTCATTCTGTTTGTTTTGTCAGGGCAGAAATGGAAAACAGAACATTGGGAGGGAGTTGGTCAGAGTGCAAGGGAGGTAGTGTTAGTTTGTTAGAGTTAACTGAATTGCAGTGAGTTAGAGTTCATGTCAGAGTGAGTTAGAGTTCGAGTGAGATAGAGTGATCTAGAGTTAAAGTGACTTAGAATTAGAGTTAGTTGAGTTAGAATGTTAGAGTTAAAGTTAGTTAGAATGAGAGTTAAAGTGACATAGAGTTTGGATGACTTAGAGTTAGAATGAGTTAGAGTTAAAGTTACTTATAGTTAAACTTACAGTACTTAGAGGTAGAATGTTTTAGAGTTAAAGTGACATAGAGTTAGAGTGGCTTAGAGTTAGAATGAGTTAAAGTTAATTAGAGATAGAATGACCTAAAGTTAGTTAGAATGAGTTAGAGTTAAAGTTAGTTGGAGATAGAATGACCTAAAGTTAGTTAGCACGAGTTAGAGCAGTGGTTCTCAACCTGGGGTCCCCAGATGTTTTTGGCCTTCAACTTCCAGAAATCTTAACAGCTGGTAAACTGGCTGGGATTTCTGGGAGTTGTAGGCCAAAAACATGTGGAGACCCCAGGCTGAAAACCACTGAATTAGAGTGACTTAGAGTTAGAATGAGTTAGCATTAAAGTGACAGTGTGACTTTGAGTTAGAATGAGTTAGAGTTAAAGTTAATTAGAGTGACTTAGAGTTAGAATTAGTTAGTGCTAAAGTGACAGAGTGACTTAGAGTTAGAATGAGTTAGAATTAAAGTTAGTTAGAATGAGTTAAAGTTAGAATTAGAGTGACTTAAGAGTTAGAGTTAGAATGGGTTGAAGTTAGTTAGAATGAGTTAAAGTTAGAGTGACTTAGAGTTAGCATTAGTTAATGCTAAAGTGACAGAGTGACTTAGAGTTAGAATGAGTTAGAATTAAAGTTAGTTAGAGTTAAAGTTAGAGTTAGAGTAACTTAGAGTTAGAATTAGAATGGGTTAGAGTTGAAGTTAGTTAGAATGAGTTAAAGTTAGAGTTAGAGTGACTTAGAGTTAGCATTAGTTAGCGCTAAAGTGACAGAGGACATAGAGTTAGAGTTAGAATTAGTTAGAATTAAAGTTAGTTAAAGTTAGTTAAAGAGTTAGAAGGAGTTACAGTTAGAGTAACAGAGACTTGGAGCTAGAATGAGTTAGAATTAAAGTTAGAGTGACTTAGAGTTAGCATTAGTTAGCACTAAAGTGACAGAGTGGCTTAGAGTTAGAATGAGTTAGAATTAAAGTTAGTTAGAATTAGTTAGAGTTAAAGTTAGAGTTAGAGTAACAGAGTTAGAATTAGAATGGATTAGAGTTGAAGTTAGTTAGAATGAGTTAAAGTTAGAGTTAGAGTGACTTAGAGTTAGCTTTAGTTAGCGCTAAAGTGACAGAGTGACATAGAGTTAGAGTTAGAATTAGTTAGAATTAAAGTTAGTTAAAGTGACTTAGAGTTAGAAGGAGTTACAGTTAGAGTAACAGAGAGTGACTTGGAGCTAGAATGAGTTAGAATTAAAGTTAGTTCGACTTAGAGTTAGAATGAGTTAAAGTTAGTTCAAGTGACTTAGAGTTAAAGTTAGAATGAGTTAAAGCTAAAATGACTTAGAGTTAGCATTAGTTGGCGCTAAAGTGACAGAGTGACTTAGAGTTAGAATGATTTAGAGTTGAAGTTAGTTAGAGTTAGGGGTTAAAGTATGTTAGGGTTAGAGTGACTTAGAGTTACTGTTAAAAGGAATTCCAGTTAAATTGAATTAAAATAAGTTAGAGTTAGTTAGAGCTACAATTAGTTTGAGTTAGAGTGAGAAGCCAAGCTTACCCAAAGGATGAGACAAAGTACTGACGGACGTCTTCAATGGGGAAGTCCTTCCCAAAATCTCCTGGCAGGTCCTCCGTATTCCACCCATCGCCCCCATTCTCCAGATCCACCCAATGTTCCAGACCCTCTGCAAGACAACAGAGTTGTTGTTGTTATTATTGTTGTTTATGGCGGCATCAAGCTAAAGAATCAACCTTCTTCTGAAGTCAGACATGACTTGATGGCACACAGTGATGAACCCACGTACGCAGCTACTCGCCTTCTCCATTTGGGTTCTTGATGAGGTTCCTCTTCCTCTTGTTGAGGAAGTAGAGCATCTGCCAGCTTTCGGCCCCGTCTTCTTCTGCCTCTTGTCCTGCAAATCCTTCCTGCTGGCACTTCAGGAGCCAAAGGGCTGCCCCATCAATCAAGGCCTTCCATTGGGAGCAAACCAGGCGGCAGACCAGGATCAGATCCACCGCCGGCACGGAAGACAGGATACGGAGCAGCAGCGGTTCGGGGAGCATCTCCATCTTTGGATGGAGGAGAGAAAGGGTTAGACAACAGGCTCCAAACCTCTTTCCTCAAGGTGTTTGGGGCAAATATAAGTTAGCAAGACATTGGAAATACAACCCATTGTAGTTCTGACATTGAAGGAGAAGTCCGTTGGATTGGAACAGTCGGGTCCAGTTGGGCAGGAAATCTGCTCCAGGTTTTGGATAGTTTGCAAGGAGCTCTCCAAACCGAACCAAAACCTGGCATGAATGGGCTCCTTCGTTTGCTCTTGGATCAAATAATAGATAGATAGATAGATAGATAGATAGATGGATAGACAGATAGACAGATAGACAGATAGACAGATAGACAGATAGACAGATAGACAGATAGACAGAGACAGATAGCTAGATTAATAGGTAGGTAAGCAGTCTCAAAAGTAGATAGTAGGTGGATGGATGATACATAAGGGAGACAACCAAGTAAATAGGTGGGTACGTAGATAGATCATCTAATCTATCTACCAATATATAGGCAGATAGATAGACTGAAAGGTAGGCAAGTAGATAGGTCAGTAAATGGACAAATAGTCAGGTAGGTATGCTAATAAATAGGTAGGCAAGCAATCTAATAGGTAGGCAAGTAGATAGGTTGATAGATGGACAAATAGTTAGGTTACTGGGCTAATAAATTTGTAGGCAGTCTAATGGGTAGGCAAGTAGATAAGTTGGTAGATGGACAAATAGATAGGTAACTATGCTAATGAATAGGTAGGCAGTCTAATGGGTAGGCAAGTAGATAAGTTGGTATATGGACAATTAGATAGGTAACTATGCTAATGAATAGGTAGGCAGTCTAATGGATAGACAAGTTGATAGGTTGGTAGATGGACAAATAGGTAACTATGCTAATGAATAGGTAGGCAGTCTAATGGGTAGGCAAGTAGATATGTTGGTAGATGGACAAATAGATAGGTAACTATTCTAATGAATAGGTAGGCAGTCTAATGGATAGACAAGTTGAAAGGTTGGTAGATGGACAAATAGATAGGTAACTATGCTAATGAATAAGTAGGCAGTCTAATGGGTAGGCAAGTAGATAAGTTGGTAGATGGACAAATAGGTAACTATTCTAATGAATAGGTAGGCAGTCTAATGGATAGACAAGTTGATAGGTTAGTAGATGGACATATAGGTAGTCAGGTAGGTATGCTAATAAATGCGTAGGCAGACAATCTAATCGGTAGGCAAGTAGATAGGTCGGTAGATGGACAAATAGTCAGGTAGCTAGGCTAATAAATAGATAGGCAGACAGTGTAATAGGTAGGCAAGTAGATAGGCTGGTAGATGGACAAATAGGTAGCCTGGTAGCTAGGCTAATAAATAGATAGGCAGACAGTGTAATAGGTAGGAAAATAGATAGGCTGGTAGATGGACAAATAGATAGGTAAATAGGCTGATAAATAGGTAGGCAGGAAGTGTAATAGGTAGGCGAGTAGATAGATCAGTAGATGGACAAATAGGTAGTCAGGTAATTAGGCTAACTCTCTACCTGACTATTTGTCCATCTACCGACCTATCCACTAACCTAGCTATTAAACTATCTGCCTACCTATTAATTAGCCTAGCTACCTATCTATTTGTCCATCTACTGACCTATCTACTTGCCTACCTATTAGACTGTCCACCTACCTATTTGTAGACGGAGAGATAAATAGGTTGACAAACTAATAGATAAGTAGGTCAATAGGTAGAAAGTAGGTAGGTCAACTCATAGATATGAGGATAGACAGATAGGTCTGAGGCAGACCGGTTCATGTCTATACCTTGTGTTTCTGATTGATTTTCCCAAATGAAGCAGCAATTAATTTAGAGAGGGAGAAAGGAGAAGAAAGGATGTTGACGCTGCAGAAGAGGGAAGCTTCTCCAAGGTATTACCTTTGCTGTCGGCTGAGTCTCGCAACCCGCCGGCGAGAGCAGGGTGCCTCTGTCTCAACCCCAAGAGTGACACAGCAGGCTCTGAGATTCTCCTCCGTCCTTCCTTTGGCTCGGAGCATCCTCCTCTTTGCAGGCTCCGCCTTGGCGGACTGGGCCTGTCGCAGGCAAGCAACTGCTGGCAAAGAACGAGAGAGAGAAAGGGTTTTGCAAGCCATGCGCCAGGGAGCATTTCTGCAACATCAGCTCACAATGAATGCCCAGGGGATGCGGAATGACATCTCCTGCTGCTGATGTGGCTGCCTATCAACAATCAGTGACGGCCTGTTAGAGATCAGTGAGACCCTATCCAGGATCAATGGATGCCTTTCTGAGATCACTGACTGCCTATCAGAGATCAATGACTGCCCATTAGAGATCAGTGGTGACCGAATAGAAATCAATGAGTGCCTGTTCAATATCAATGAGTGCCTATCAAAGATCAATAGATGCCTTTCAGAGGTCAATGACTGCCTATTAGAAACCAGTGACCACCTATCAGTGGTGAATGACAGCCTCTCAGAGATCAGTGACAGCCTATCAGAGATCAATTAGTATCTATTAGAACTCAATGAGTGACTATTGGAGATCAATGAGTGCCTATCAAAGATCAATAGATGCCTTTCAGAGGTCAATGACTGCCTATTAGAAACCAGTGACCACCTATCAGTGGTCAATGACAGCCTCTTAAGCAATCGGTGACAACCTATCAGAGATCAATGAGTATTTATTAGAACTCAATGAGTGCCTTTCAAAGATCAATGAGTGCCTATCAAAGATCAATGGATGCCTTTCAGAGATCAATGACTGGTTATTAGAAACCAGTGACTGCCTATCAGTGGTCAATGACAGTCTATCAGAGACCAGTAACAGCCTATCAGAGATCAATTAGTATCTATTAGAACTCAATGAGTGCCTATTAGAGATCAATGAGTGCCTATCAAAGATCAATAGACACCTTTCAGAGGTCAGTGACTGCCTATTAGAAACCAGTGATAGCCTATCAGTGGTGAATGACAGCCTATCAGAGATTGGTGACAGCCTATTAGAGATTAATTAGTGCCTATTAGAGGTCAATGAGTGCCTATCAAAGATCAATAGATGCCTCTCAGAGATCAATAACTGCGTGTAAGAAACCAGTGACCACCTATCAGTGGTGAATGGCAGCCTATCAGAGATCGGTGACAGTCTATCAGAGATCAATGAGTATCTATTAGAACTCAATAAGAGCCTATCAAAGATCAATTGATGCCTTTCAGAGATCAATGACAGACTATTAGAAACCAGTGACTGCCTATCAGTGGTCAATGACAGCCTATTGGATATCAGTGACAGCCTATCAGAGATCAATGAGTGCCTATTAGAACTCAACGAGAACCTATCAAAGATCAATTGATGCCTTTCAGAGGCCAATGACTGACTATTAGAAACCAGTGACCGCCTATCTGGATGGCCATCTGTCAGGGTTGTTTTGAATGTGATTTTCCTGCTTATTGGCAGAATGGGGTTGGACTGTATGGACCACCAGGTCTCTTTCAACTCTAGGATTCTGTGACTCTGTGACCATGGGAAGAGCATCCGGCAATGAGTCATGCAAGACAAAGTTCGTAGAAGAGGGCCTGGTGCCAGGCCAGAACTTCACTGACATCTCTCCATGGTATGGAAGGCCACTGAGAGGTCCAAGAGAACCAACAGGGACACACTCCCCATGTCCAGTCCTCTGTGTAGATCACCCACTAAGGAGACCAAGACTGTTTCAGTTCCATGACTTGGTCTCAAGCCAGATTACAATGGATCTAGATATTCAGTTTCCTACAAAAACACTTGGAGTTGTGAGGTCATCACATGTTCCATTACTTTGTCCAAAAAGGGGAGAGTGGGGTCCAGTGATGGTTTCTTCAACAGTGGGTTTAGGACTGCTGGAATCTTGTAAGGAGGCATCAACCATCACCGTGACCCACTCCACCAAACTACTTCTGGCTTCCTTTACCAGTCAGGATGGGCTCCGGGATGCATGTGGTCACCCTCAACTCTCCAAGGATCTTGTCCATGTCCTCGGTTTGCACCAATTGAGGAGGGAGGTGGAGGGGATGGAGAAGGAGGAGGAGATGAAGATGGAGATGGAGGAGATGGTGGAGGAGGAGGAGGTGGTGGTGGAGGAGGAGGAGATTGAGGAGATGGAGGAGTAGATGGAGGAGGAGGAGATGGAGATGGAGAAGGAGGAGATGGAGGAGGAGATGGAAATGGAGGAAGAGGAGATGGAGGAGGAAGAGGAGATGGAGGAGGAGGAGATGGAGGAGGAGGAGGAGATGGAGATGGAGGAGGAGATGGAGAAGGAGGAGGAGATGGAGATGTAGGAGAGAGGAGATGGAGAAGGAGGAATGGAGGAGGAGGAAGAGGAGGAGGAGAGATGGAGAGGGAGGAGGAGGAGATGGAGGAGAAGAGGAGGAGGAGGAGGATATGGTGATGGAGGAGGAGGAGGGGGAGGAGGAGAGGAGGAGGAGAGATGGAGGAGGAAGGATATGGAGGAGGAGATGGGAGGGGATGGAGGAAGAAATAGAGGAGGAGGAGGAGGAGAGAGGAGGAGGAGAGGAGAGGAGATGGAGGAGGAGAGGGAGAAGGAGGAGATGTAGGAGAAGGAGGATGTAGGAGAAGGAGGAGAAGTAGAAGGAGAAGGAGGAAAAGGAGGAAAAGAAGGAGAAGTAATGATGGGATCCTTAGATCTAGGGAAAATGATGGAGTTCTAAGGTATAAGGCAAGTAATAGGCTCCTAAGATAGATGACAAATCATGGGATCATAGGATATGTGGTGCTGATTGGGTCTTCTCAAAAGCCATCCCTTGGAATAGCCTTGAACTAGGGCCATGGAAGGCCTGGGTTGGAATCTTCCCTCAACTCTGGCTGATGCTGAGCATCTTGCGCTCCTTTTCTTGCTGGAGAGAATGGGAAGAACACCCAGAGATGAATCATGCAAGGCAAAGTTCGCCAGACCGGGCATTGTGCCAGGCCAGAACTCCGCTCACGTATCTCCACTTCCCAGTTTACATGGCTCGAGCCACTCCTCCTGCTCTGAGACAGTTTCCTCGCTCACAAAACAAGAGGCAGAAGTTTGGTGAAGAGAGTTGAAGGCATTCTCCATGCCCTGCTTCCCTTGACTCTCAATCCCATCATCCTTCTAAGTTCGGACTAAAACCCAGAACTGATTCGGTTCCAGGATGGAAATCCCATAGGGAAGTCTGTTGAAATGTCAAGAGAGCGAGATCAAGAGATTTTCCAGAGGTCCAGAAGTTTGGATCAAAACTCGGAGCAGACTCCCAATCTCCTTTGATAATAATAATACGACCGCTTGAACCTCCATGGATGGATGCTATGGACCTCTGGAAGTTGTAGTTGAGATATCATTGCATTCATCACCAGAGTTCTGGACTATCTAATTAATAGCTGTGGACTCCCGGAAGCTGCAGTTGGATTCTGGGAGTTGAACCCCCAAAAGATCTGGAGAACCTCTAGTTTTGAATGTATTGATTCTTAGCGCAGTCTTCTATCCCTCTTCATCTTGCTTTGTTGGACCATGGATGATAGTGCAGATTCCAAACTCATCCACTGTTTGGTCCATAGTTTAGTTCCCGTCTCTCATCTGTTCCTCCATGTTTTCTTTCCCCACCAGTTGGGTGCGATCCCTTCTGAGGAAGAAAGTGTCCATCGAAGACCTCCCGGAGGATCTCCTCCTCGATATCCTCTCTCTGGTCCCAAGGAATGACTTGGTCTTCAGCTGCCGCCGAGTTTGCTCTCGGTGGAGGGATCTGGTGGATCTCCCCGTCCTTTGGAAGCGCAAATGCCGGCGGATGGGATTCCACCTGGAGGGGTCGAATAGTGGTCTCCGGGACTGGAGGGCCTTCTGCTTCCATCACAGCCTGAGGAACCTGGTCAAGAACCCCTGTGGAGAAGGTGGGTCCTATCTCTCCATATAAGTGTCTAATTGAAAGATTTCCAGATCTTCCATTAATATCTCTTGGAGACTCATTGAAAGATCTCCAGATCTTCCATAGAAGATCTCATTAAAAGATCTTCCATAGGGATCCCTTGGAGATGTCACTGAAAGATCTCCAGATCTTCCACAGAGTCATTGAAAAATCTCCAGAGCTTCCATATAAATCCCTTGGAGACTCATTCTTCCATAGAGGCCCCTTGTAGAGTCATTGAAAGATCTCTAGGTCTTCCATAGAGACAGCTTGGAGAGGTCGTTGAAGAATCACCAGGTCTTCCATAGGGATGGATCCCTTTTTGACTAGTAGAAAGATCTCCACATTTTCCATAGAGGCACCTTAAAGACTAAATGAAAGATCTCCAGATCCTCCATAAAGATTCCTTAAAGACTAATTGAAAGATCTCCAGATCTTCCATAGAGGTATCTTGGAAACTGTAAGATAGATACTGCACTGTTAGACATGAATGCATTGGCTGTAACCCCACTGTATAATACTGCTAGAAAATACAATTCTAATGGACATGTGGTCACACACCTACTGACAGCTTAAGTAGGTGGTGATGTGTAACTTCTACATGTTCATCGAAAGATCTCCAGCTCCTCAGTGGGCTTTCCATCCCTTTAAGAGATTTTTGAGGTAGGGTTCCGCACCATGGTCTCTCCTTTGATGTTTGGACTAAAACCCAGAGCGGATCCATCTGTTCTGAGTCTGCATATGAGAATGAATAGGAATGGAAACTTCTTTTTTTTAATTTGGGGTGTTTTGACAGAATTCCTAGATTTCTGGGAAGCAACCCAGCTCTTTTGGAAGGTTTCCAAGGATGTTTTGTGGGATTCAGACCTCCAGCTCTATGAAAGAGGCCTGAGGATTCCCCGGCCGCCACCAGAGATCCAGAGATGCTTTATACTCACCCGTTCGGTGAACACAATTTCTATCTATCGTCGGGACTACACCAAGCGACAGCAGATTACTTTGGTGGAGGAGGGCTACTCAAACCGCCTGATGGACGAATCCAGGCCCAAAATCGTCGTGAAAGACTGGTGAGTGCTGGAGAACCACACCTACTCCTCAGTCCATCTTCGGATTATACAGACAATTTAACTTTTGTTTACCGGAGTAAACTTTTCCCTTTCTCTGAGTGTGTACCATGATGCATCTTTATTGCTGGAGCATGTGTGTTGCACACTCATTATGTCAGTGCTAGCTCATCGGCCTCCTTGTTTGTTCCCATCACCTTTGAGAAAATGTATGGCCTTGTTGTGTCAACCATTTTACACCCCAACTGCATCGCCCTGTCCTGAGCTTTGAAGTCTTTAGCAAAACAACTTGGGAAGTCTGTTCTTTAGAAGTTCAAACCGCTCTTTCTAATTACAGTTAACTTTTGACGAGGTGCCAAGCTGTGATTAATATCAATTTGGATTATTGTTAACCTATTAGGTAGGCATGTGTGATCCCCCCCCTCCCAAAATTGGTTCTAAACTGTGTTCAAAAGTATGGGGTGTTGATGCTCTGTTTCTAAAGTCCTTTCTGAAATTATTGGGGTAAAAATTTCAAAAATTTACGAAACTTCCAAATCTTTGTAAGCACTTCGTTAATGGCGGTTGCACATGCGCATTAAGGAAAACATTACTGTCAGTGGGGAAACTTGAGGGGCTTCTCTCTCCCTCAGTTTTTGAGCTATCCTGATGAAACTTGCTATAGTGGTAGAACACATTTACCACTGTTATGTTTGACTTATCCATGGATTTTTGGCAAATTTTCAAAGTTTTTAAAAAGAACATTTTTAGCGACCTCCACCTCTTGTTTCCAACATGTTTGGCTTTGCCTCTCAGCAGGGCTTGGTTGCCCTGTGAATTTTAGCTCCATCACAGCTACCTCCAAACACATTCAAAACTTAAGAATCACAGGTTCCTTTTTATTTGAAATCTTAATATTGGGGTGGGGGAGTGTGGCGAAGGAGAGAGACTATTTCCTTATTAAAAACCTCTTTGCTGCCTTATACTGATTCAGTTTCTTCTTTTATATTGGCTGGGACTTTCTGTGTGCTGTTAAACCTTTGTGCTTTATGTCACAAGCAATGAAACACTCTTGTATATAACAAAGTAACACAGTTTATTTATAACTTCTGGCTCCAACGCTTGTGGTTACATTTGTGTTTTGTTGCAATCTTGAGGCTTACAGTCAGTATCATTTACTTGGTTTACTTTTCTGGATAAACTATCAATGTTTCACATTCACAGACATGTTACTTGTTTTACACACTCTTGGCTGAATTATATTCTGACTTAGGCAACACTAGCCTTCTTTGTGTTCCTTAAAACTTGAGCTCTATTTAACTAACTGCTTCTCTATATCAGAAGTCTTTAACACATCTTCATAACTGGATAAACTTTCTTCCCTATCTGCCATATGTAAACATAGAGCTATACACCAAAACATAGAGTAGCAATTTCTCTACAGGGAGCAAGCAAATAAACACATGTGACAAGCTTTGCAAACAAATAGAAGCAACACACCTACTCCTCAGTCCAGCTTCAGATTATATAGACAATTTAACTTTTGTTTCCTGGAGAAAACTTTTTTCCTCTCTCTGGGTGTGCGCCATAAAGACATCATGGCATCTTTATTGCTGGAGCATGCGTGTTGTAAATTCATTATGTCAGTGCTAGCTAATCTGCCTCCTTGTTTGTTCCCATCGCCTTTGAGAAGATTTATGGCCTTGCTGTGTCAACCCTGTCCTGAGCTTTGAAGTCTTGGGTTTGAATGCCCACTCAACTGGGAAAATCGACTATTCCAGTCTACTCCTCATGCTTTCTTGTATTTTTCCCTCTCCAAAATAGGCAATATTTCAGCTTCAAGTCTCACTGCCAACTTGATGTGAAGCTGCTGTCGGCTGGATTGGAGGTCCTCCAAGAATGCAGCCTATCACATTTTGGTGAAAGTGACGTGTGGAAAGAGGTACAGCTACAGCTATAATATTATATAATTTTCATTTATTTATTTGTTTATTGATTGATATCCCACTTTATCTCTCCATAAGGAGACTCAAAGTGGCTCACAGTCAAAAACATTACAACTTAAAATATACAAATACTTACTTACTTAGGCGATCCCTCGTAGTCCGAGGATGATGGTCCTCCAAGTTCGGTGTCCTGGCGCTGGGTTCGTAGGTGACTGTGGAGCCCTCTTCTTGATCTGCATCTTCTCCCTCAGTGAGGGCATTGGTTTCCAGGTGGAAGGAGATCCCGGGAGGTCCCTTCCTCTTGGCATGCTTCTCCCTTTTGCCCTCCATTCATGCCTCTTCAAATTCTGTAGCACTGCTGGTCACAGCTGACCTCCAGCTGGAGCGCTCAAGGGCCAGGGCTTCCCAATTCTCAGTGTCTATGCCAGAGTTTTTAAGGTTGACTTTGAGCCCTTCTTTCAATCTCTTTTCCTGCCCACCAACATTCTGTTTTCCGTTCTTGATTTTGGAATAGAGCAACTGCTTTGGGAGACGGTGGTCGGGCATCCAGACAACATGGCCAGTCCAGCGGAGTTGATGGCGGAGGACCATTGCTTCAATGCTGGTGGTCTTTGCTTCTTCCAGCACGCTGACATTTGTCCGCCTGTCTTCCCAAGAAATTGGCAGGGTTTTCCAGAGGCAACGCTGATGGAATCGTTCCAGGAGTTGCATGTGACGTCTGTAGAAAGTCCACGTTTTGCAGGTGTAAAGCAGGGTTGGGAGGACAATAGCTTTATAAACAAGCCCCTTGGTATCCCTACAGATGTCCCAGTCCTCAAACACTCTCTGCTTCACTCGCAGAGCTCAGGCGGTGTTGTATTTTGGTGTCGATGTTGACTTTGGTGAAGAGGTGACTGCCAAGGGAGCGGAAATGGTCAACATTTTCTATTGTCACATCATTAAGCTGTATTTCTAGCATTGGAAAAGGGTTGGCTTGTGACTGCTGGAAGAGCACTTGGGTTTTCCCGATGTTCAATGACAGGCCGAGCTTCTCGTATGCTTCTGCGAAGGTGTTTAGAGTGGCTTGTAGATCTTCTTCTGAATGAGCACAGACGACATTGTCATCAGCATAGTGGAGTTCTATAACAGATGCTGTTGTAACCTTGGTTTTGGCTTTCAGTCTGCTGAGGTTGAATAGCTTGCCATTTGTCCAATAGATGATTTCCACTCCGGTGGGAAGCTTCCCATCAACAAGGTGAAGTATCATAGCGATGAAGATGGAGAGTAAAGTTGGGGCAATAACACATCCCTGTTTGGCTCCTGATTCCACCTTAAATGGGTCACTTTGGGAGCCATTGCTGTCCAAGACTGTTGACATCATGTCATCATGGAGGAGCCACAGGATGTTCACAAATTTGTTAGGACACCCAATTTTTTGGAGGATGGTCCACTGTGTCGAATGCCTTTGCAAGGTCAAATATACAAATATCCAACAATAAAACAGACGCGATTGCAAAGGTGGTGGGACCGAGAGCAGGGCCCCTCCAGAAGATCTTAACAACCTTTATGGTTCATGGGGAGAATCCGTTCGGACAGGTAAACTGGGCCGGAGTCATTTAGGGATTTATAGGTCAGCACCAGCACTTTGAATTGTGCTCGGAAGCTAATGGGCAGCCAGTGGAGCTGGCGCAACAGAGGAGTAGTATGCTCCCTGTACCCCGCTCCTGTTAGTAATCTGGCTGCCGCACGTTGGACTAGTTGAAGATTCCGGCCAGTCTTCAGAGGCAACCCCACGTAGGCAACCCCTTCACGTAGGCAACCCCTTCAGAGGCAATCTCTTGGGAAGACAGGCAAACAAACATCAGCATGCTGGAAGAAGCAAAGACCACCAGCATTGAAGTGATGGTCCTCCGCCTTCAACTCAGCTGGACCAGCCACGTTGTCCAGATGCCCAACTACCATCACCCAAAGCAGTTGCTCTACTCCGAACTTAAGAACGGAAAACGGAATGTTGGTGG